TACCCGCTCGAACTTTTACGAGGCCGTACGTGTTACCTGCTGGTATGAGGAGGCTGAATTTAAATTTGCGGGGTCACACGTAGGTGGGCAGCGTCCCCCTAAATTTTCAGCTAGCTTTTTTGGTTCCTGACTTAAAAGTTGCGGCCAAGTTATTGCGGACACGGACGCAGACATGGGCACACACACACACATATATATATATATACACATACACACCGACAACCCCGTGACAATATGCGTTTTGTATTGCTGTTAGACAGCACAAAACGCATAAAAAGCAAACAAAAACTGAGCTTATGCGATGGGGCCCTTTTTGCCTTCAAAATCTCATAGAAACTGAGACTGACTTCATCCCTTTGCATCCAGTCTACCCCGTTCTTGCGCAGTTCATATCCTGCAATGGAAATTATTCGCTCCCAGCTTTACCTGAGCATCAGCTTCATAAATAGAGAAGTCCCTTACTGGTGACGGGTTTTTATAGACTAATTCCCACTAGCAGAAGCTCAGTTTTTTTACTTTTATCCATAGATTAAGATTTGCTTTAATTTACTTTTCTTTTTAGTTTTGTGTTGTCTTTTCCTCTTTACTGCTGTCTCCAGTTCTTGCCTCGAGCTCTTGACTTGTATCCCTGCTCTTGTTCTCTGCTCTGCCAACAAATCCTGTTTGCGAAGCAGCTTCTAGGCTCCTCCCCATTTCCACCATAAGAGCACTGTGCAGGCAAGCAGTATTTCACCATTCCCTGCCCCAGGTATCTGTGGTAAAAAGCAGGAGCACACTTCTCCATCCTTTCCACTCACCACTCCTCTCTGCCCTCCAAATGCACGTGAACTAGCCAACCGACAAAGGATCTACTCCACTTAGTTCTTAAATCATCGACTTAGCCCAGCCCCCTCCCCTGGAACGGAACCCGCAACATGCCATCCCCTCATTTGCCGCATTCAAACTCTCACCATCCGCCGTGGGGTGGCCCTACCAGCCTTCGGCAGGAACAATTTTTTGCAAGTCGTGTATAACACCGGCCGAGCCGAGTCTTTGTAACTGCCGGTTTCACAGCATCATCGACATTCTCAGAGTGTCGAATCGGGAGAACCATGCCCGCCTTTTCAATACCACTGTGCTGAAGGTAGTGACGTATAGATACGGAGCGTGGTTGCTGACGAAAATTGAAGAGCTGGCTATGACGAAGAGCGAGGAAACGAAGGATGTTCTGCAGGTCCCGTCGCAACCACATAAATCAGACTCTTTATCAGATGCAAGGTGTTGAATGTCACTGTGACTGAACGAAAGAGTTAAATCCAAAGGTCGGCTTAACAACTGTCGGTGGACATCGTGCATTAATAAATGGTGCCAGTAAGGAAGTAAACGACCACCTAGACAGCCTTGGCAAGCTGGCGTTCATGCATCGAACAGATGACGGCGAGGGATGGGACTGGATAGAGGTATGCAGCTTGGCAACGAAGGGCCTAACGTAATCACGTCTGGCTGTTCGTCCCTAATTGCGCTTTGTTTTCGTTTCTTAGCTGCATATTCCAATCAGCAACTGTAAAGATATCACAGTACCTCTGCTGAAATGAGAAAAAAGATTATTTCGACTTATACAAAGTAATGGGATGGAGGAGATTATCGCTTCCTGACATGTTAGTAGCATTATCACACGTCATCCTCTGCCTATGAAATACAGGTAAGCGAGGATAGAAGCTTTAGCTTAGAAAAATTAAAATGAATGTCTTCTTAAATTTTGCAGATGAAACTTCTCTATCGTTCGGTGGTGTTTCGTCCAGGGCGATTCTTCCATACTACGAAAGATGTGATCGAAAGTTTGGAAAAGGAGAAAAATCTAGACGGCAAAACTGATCTAGAAAGAGAACTGGAAGGGAACCCTATCATCGCAGACCCTGAAAAATTACCGGACAAGAAACTGCCAACAGCAGCAGCAACAATGGCTTAACCTTTTGTTATG